ATATTTCTGCAGTCATAAAAATTGTTATATATCTTAGCCCAGCTATTTTAAACTGTTTGATCACATTCTAGGGTTATTATTATTATACCTAAAATGCAACATTGATAGGAACACTGAGATAAAAAAATACAAAATTCAACCATCAACGCATTTCAAAATTGTTACTTTTTTGTAAAATATAACATCAAATTTTTATATTAGTGCTACCAGTATTACAACATCAATATTGTACATTTTTTGTAACATTTGAATTTTTAATTCAGTGCACTATTTTGTCATTGCAATTTTAGTGTAATTTTCACTAACAACTGCAATTGGATTTATATTGTAAACCTAAGTTCACTGTTATCCCACCGGCCACTATTGTGACCATGAACATGTTTACTCATTCTATCACCACACTCAACAAAATGCAGTTATCATCTTCTCAAGGTGCAAACAGGAAATAAACTGCCCTGGTCATGTGACAATTTGCACTAATCATGTGAAACTGCACACATTTCATTGAGCCCCTTTATTTTTTCCATATTTGCAGGAAGTGCACTAAAACATCAGTCAGTAAGGTTTTTAGAGCTTTATAAATGAAAACCTTTTTTACGGTCACTATTGTTACCGGCGGGATTAAACGGGTTAATTTAAACACCTCAATTTTAACGCGACAGAAATGCACAAGCGCTAATCTATGGAAGGCCAAAGCATCAAAAGCACGTGAATTTTAACGCGTCAACAATGCGTTGTCTACGCATGAAGTATGCGTGTTTAACGCTATATCAATACTTTGGATCGATACGCCCATCCCTAGTTTTTGACTCTTGTGGCCTTCCATATACTAGAAGAAAGCGGAGCGGGACCATCTCAAAAACAAAAGCGGCAATGGACATTGAAGGCGTTTAAAGCTCTTCCTCCAGTTCCAGTGTATCGCATTCGCTGGATAACATGCAGACGGCAGTGACGCAAGCGACTCGGTTCACGCTGACTGCTGAGCACAGAGAAACCTGCTGCTGCTGCTTTCCATTTTGTCTGGCCATTTGTCTGTTGAGATCCTCGCAGGTTTTTGCTGGAGCTATGGTTTAGGCTGATAACGGGTAAGGATGGGTTCTTGATAACAAAAGCCTGCATGAACGGATTGCAGTTTCAATCCTATTATATAAACAATGCATGTAAATTATTATTAGATTTAAGAATATATACATGATCTAATTGAGAACTACATGTGTGCTGGCAACAAAATTCCAGGACAAAACTGCCCATTTGTTGGCTTGAGGGTCTTTGGTGCAGATTTTAACCCCTGCTTCACTGGAAGCAGCGTGTAAAGAGACCCGTTAAAGGCATTTGATGCAATGCGACGTGATGAAGCAGCTCAAGTCTGGAATTGGCTGCTGAATGCATCGTTGTGTATTTTACAGTCACGGATCTGCATGAACACTATGGCTGCAGTGGTGAATTATTCTCCGCCGTGGTGGGTTAACCTTTTCCATCGCCTCCCGCACTTCAACCTACAGTTTCAGCTGACCAGCAGCCATTTCCGCCCGGAGGACTCGGAATATCAAAAGGTAGGTCGAGTTCAAGTGCTACGTGATTTGGAAATCCGAGCCAACATCGAGATCGATCTGTGCGTGCGGA